CGGCAGCTGGTGCGAGCCCTCACACAGCTCAGCCAGCCTAAACCCACCGGTCATTAAAACCTAGCCTTCCCGGTGAGGTTTAACACCGCTTCAGAAGCACGCCCATCCCAAACCAACCAGCAATAACCAACTTATGAGGAAGAACCGGCAACAAGGGCTTTACCTTCAGAGCACCGTGGCACAGAGCAGGGTTTGGCAGAAATATTTTAAGCCCAGATGAGGCCTCCCGACTAGGACTGCTCCCTCAGGCAAAAGAAAGCTCAGCCCCTGCTCTTTCTGCTCTGGATCTGAGCGTGTATAAATGTGCCTTTTTCTGGGTGACAGATAAATTATTGAGCACCCCGGTGTTGTATTATGCATTCAGACATCCTCCACAGCCCGCACCGCACCGGCTGTCGAGCCGTGAACTGTTTTCGGGGGCTCTTGAGCAGCGCAGCTCCAACAGCCAACACAACAGGCCGGGGAAGTGTGAGTGGCACACGCTGCCCGGAGGGACACCCCGCGTGACAGTAACATGGTCCGAAGGGGCATCCCCAGCAGGGACCCCTCAGAGCTTTTCTGGTAAAAAAAAAAAAGGGGCTCTTGAGACTCTGAGGAAAAGTTTGGTTTCTTTTTGCTGGTAAGACCCCCTGTTTTGAGGGAGGTGAGAGGGGCTGCAGGGGCAAGAGGTGATGCCACCATCAGCAGTGAGCCTGTGAATCCCAGCGGGAAGCAAATGCAGAGCAGAAGCAGCCGTGAAATCCTGAGGCAACACCAAGCACTAACAGCCAGCGAGCACCGCCACAGAGCTCCATACGGCAAAACGTTGGCTGCCCAGCCCAGCGCCAACAGGACACTGGGCACCAGAACAGACCCAGGACCTGTGCCGAGGCACGTCCCGTCCCTGGCAGAGGCCAGAGCAGCCCCGCAAAGTCCCAGTACCATCCCTTTCCACTCACAGCTTTTAGATTCAAATCACAAGCTTCTCATTAGCACACGTTTGCATGTTAATGACATGTCTTACAGTAAGAAGCCTTTCCATCTTATGACATTGCTTCTCCTTTCCTCCTGCGCCCCCAACTTCCTATTAATGTGTCTTCTCAGCTCACATGATGACTTCAACAGCTAATTCTCATGTCAGCCCTTGTGAGAATTACAGCCTTTGCACCAAACACTGCACCAGGAGGCAAAACGCCTGAAGAACGAGAGGGACAGGGCCTTTTAGAGACACCGACTGCGATGTTTTACCAGACGCTAACATGCATCCGTGTTTCCTAGCAGGGAGAGATGCCTTTAAAACAAAAAGGTCAATATTATAGTAAATTAGACACTAAATCTCACTCTAAAAAAAACACAAAGTGATCCAACTTCTTCTGCAAACCACTGGACAGGCCCATCATGTTTGTTGCTGGGACCCCGGGGGCTGAGGCTGTTTGGTTTTCAAGCATCCCCCTGATCCTGTTGTGATCCCACAGCAAGAGCACGGTGCAGAGCTCCGCAGCAAGCTGTCCCCCCCACCTATTTGTAGCTTTCCCTAAAGCACCTTCCAGGGCTAGCTCGAGCCCGTGCCTACGCTCAGGAAGGTCACCCTGTCGGGCACGTTAGGAGCTGGCTCCCATCAGCATTGGTGGCACAAGTGACAGTGAGCAGAGGCAGCAGGCTGACAGGCAATGGCTGTGGTAAAGCAGAGTGACGAGGGTGACTAGGGCTGCGGCTTTGGTCTGTCCATGA